ATGTTGGCATATAAGACTACAATTGGCATTCCGAGCTAACCTTCACAAAAATGAAAGTCTCCAAGTCCACAAACCATCCAAGCATAATGAGAACCTCAAATTTGATTCTTGTACTTGAAATATGCCCCAGTATTATAGGGGTGAGTAACATAAAGCTACTCGTAGGAAATGAGCATGCATCGACCTACGTTTTACAAGTTTGCATGATTTAATTATTGTGGTTCATTCCACCTAACGTCTATGTCAAAGGTGAGACTCAAGGAGCATCCTAGCTACCTAAGATCATTTCTAGCATCAATAACCTCATTCATGCAATTTTAGCAACATAGGGGCATGCTTACACAAAGCAACAACATAGGAATATGCTTACACAAAGCAACAACATAGGAGTATGTTTACACAAAGCAACAATATATAGATTCTCAAGGTTATCAACTTGAAGTCTAAAATGCAACATCAACTAAATATAACAATTTAACATAATTAGAATATCTAATACCACACATCAAGACATAGATTCTCTAGGTTATCAACTAGAAATCTAAAAGTGTGAAATCAACTAAATATATCAATTTAGTATAGATGTACTTAACAACATCAAATCGCCAATAGCCAAAACCACAAGTCAACAAGGTAAACATGATTGTCAACTTGGAATTGAATGCGAAAACGATTAGTGGAAGACTTGAACATCACGCTCGGAATTCTGCCGAGACCTCAATGGTTATTCCAGGCACTAACCCGCAGGGAAGACCACCCTAAGTGCGCACTATCTCAATGACTTAGAGGACTCACGTCCCTATACTAGAGCCAAATCCTAGCCATCCCAACTCAACAATGTTCCGAGATTCTAAAATAAGCCAAATAAGTTCATAACTTATATATATTACTACTATATAGTAACAAGTTAGCAATATAGCTCTCAATTGTGCATAATAAGCATTTCATATCCATAATGCTACGAAATCACAAGCCAACAATATATTCATATTAGAAACATACTCTCATGAATATAAATTTAACAATAATGCCTTTCAATGCATATAACACAATCAAGTGAATACTTCACAAGTCTAAATCCATGCTCTTAAAAATAGAAACAACTTCTAAAACATGATTAGATCCATGGATAAACAAGATAGAATCTAATTATATCAAAATAATTAAACTCTCTAGATTTCAAATCATTTCCAATTGGCCCCAATTTAATATATGCTAATAGACATATCATGGTCATTATATATATTTACACAAAAAATTAATTTGGTCCATGAAACCACAAAATTAGATTTTAATTAATTCTCTTAATTAAAGTCTCTAAATTTTCAAACTCAACCAAATGCTCTCAAATTAAGGTATGTTAAAGAACATGCCATGACTTAATTTAAAAGCATATTACAACTCAATTTCATGCAAGGTACGGCCATGAACTTTAATCTTTCACAAAAGATAAATATTAATTAAAAAGAGCAATTCTTATTTAATTAATCCCAATTTAATATATGTTAACCAACATATTAAAACAAGAGTTTCTACCATGCCACAATTCAAATCCAAATTTCTCATCATCATGAAAATTAAATCTTATACAAAGAATTAAATATTTCAAATTTCTTAGATTTGATACAAGGCATGCATATAGGTTGTATAAACATGGAAAACACACAATACAACACATATAAAATCCTAAAACATTCCCTACCTCCATTTGAGATAAAATCTCAAATCCCCACCAAAATAAATTGGCTCCGAATCCGGACAACACTACGAACATGAATCCCAAGGAAGCCCCATCAAAAACACAACTTGAATTCAAATCCGAACTCAAGAAATGGCCAAAACGAGATTCCAATTGGTTGGAATCGAAGGCCTCGCCGAGGGGAACAATAAACACTAAGGCATTAAGGTATTTCATTGAAGGGAAGAAGCTCAAAAGAAGAGAGAGAAGATGGCAGCCATGGCTGCCTCTAGATCCGGCCAAGAGAGAGGAGAGAGAGAGCAAAAATCTGATTTTTCACTTAAAGGCCCCCTATTTATAGAAAAACTCAAAAAGTGTCCCAAACGGGCCCGCTGGGTCCGAAAAAGTGAAATCTGAGCAGATGAGCTCAAACGGCAAAACTCTATGAACAAAAAAGATTTCAAAGGAAAAACTATGAACAATGGAAGAAACGGCGTTGAAAACTGAGTCCCGAGCAGAGAGTTATGCCCAAAACAAGTTTGGCGCAAACTAGGGCCAGAAACCCTGAAACTGGAAAATATCGTCCAGGAGGAAATTCTAAGAGTTCACGACTTGACGAAATGTGAAAATGAATCCCATACGAGGATCCAGGCTCAAAACAAGGCATTTAGTAATAACTTTCATTAATTGCACAATAACCCCTCCAAAAAGTGAAAACTGCGAAACTGCCCTAGAATGAAAATATTTTTCAAAAGATATTTTCTTAGATACCCCTGAAATAAAATATCTTCAAAAGATATTTGTGAAAAACACCCCAAGAAAAGAAAAAAAGAACTTTGCATTTATGCCCCTATGGGTACCGGGAGCAACCAGAGTACTTTCTCACGAAAGTAAGGATACGTATTTTATGGAAACCACTGAGAATGAAGATACGTGAAGTCAGAAACCAACTCCGAACACAAGAAGTGTGGTTACGCAAACAGAGTGACAAACGAGGAAAAGACGAAATAGGGAAAAAGACAAAAAGTGAATAGTGTCGTAAAACGAAAAAATGCGCAAATGACTCGGTCCTCAAAGGAAGTTGTCAATCCAAAGAAAAGAGTCTCGGAAATCACTCCAGAGCACTCGAGACGACACTAATCGACAAGAAACCAAACTCATAAGGGAAAAGACAACGGAAAAAATTTATCCGAAAAATCCGGGTCATTACATGCTTTCTTATCTTCTCCTTCTTTCCCCTTTCGCGAACTCATTGCATCCTCCGGATTCATGTGTTTCCTGGCTCTAACCAATAATTCTGCTATACTGGTTGGAGGTTCCTTTGATAAGGAAAAAAGGAAATGTATGCAGTCCTCTCATGAAGGCGGTGAGTGTTACTTTGTCATCTGATTCATCCACCTGCAGCATTTCGATGTTGAACCGGTTGATATACTCTCGCAATGGTTCTCCATTCTGTTGTTTTACGGTGAGCAAGTGAGTGGCTGGCCTCCTGTGCCTTTGACCTGTAATGAAACGACTTACAAATCCCTTGCTCAACTCTGCAAATGTCTCGATCGAACCTGGTTTTAATTTATTAAACCACACTCGTGCCGACCCTTTGAGAGTGGTAGGAAAGGCCCGACACATTATCTGGTTTGGTACAGCTTGGAGATGCATAAGTGCCTGGAAAGTCTTCAGGTGATCAAGAGGATCATGGGTCCCATCAAAGCTCTCAAGTGTTGGCATCTTAAACTTGTTAGGCAATTGACATTTCATGATAGTCGGGCTAAATGGCAAATTTGTTTTTTGAACAAGGTCGTCTATGGTGGTAGTAGAGCCTTTTCCCTTAATAGTTTGCATCACATCTTCTATCTTGGCATTGAGGTTCTGGATCTATAGGTCAATGTGGGTGACCTCTTCAGTCCGTTCACAAACGTAGGTCGAGGTCAATGGCCTAGAACTATGTGGGGGAGATGGGTGACCCGCCTCCCTATGCTAATCAGCAATTTGGCTATGCTCTGCAAGAGCCTCCTCATGGGAAGGCTCGTTGCCTTGCACCTCATGATTTCCCTCCTCAGCATTTAGGCTGGGATGATTTTGAGGTGGGATTTCGTTATGGTGATGATCTTGCCCTAGAGGGGGGGTTTGGGGGAACAAAACGTTGTAGGATCATAGCATTTTGCCGGATCAGCTCATTCATTCCTTGATTCAGGGTTTGAACTTGCTGTTCCAATGTTGCGACACGGTCTAGGTCATTTGGGATGTGAAGGGTTCCCCCTGCATTTCCTCCTCACCAGAGGCCTGCAACGATGTTCCCTCACTGCACTCAAATCCGGATCGTAAGACCATGATCCTTTTTAAAGAGAACTATCCCAAGTTCCCACAGACGGCGCTAACTGATGCACATTAGTTTGCAACGATTTGAAACGATAACGTTTTCTCTTGACACCGGTGTGGTGCCTGCCAAACAACCTTCGATGGCTAAGTCAGTTTATAGAAGAAAATAAATTAGGCAATTATGAAGTGGAGTTCAATATTGCCCTTAGCTTATTGATTGATGGGAGTTTGTTTTTATAGCTAGTTGAGCTGAGTGTATGTTGCAATCTTTAAGGAGAGGTTTTGTCGATAATTTGAATTTCATATAATCAGATCAAAACAACTTTTCGAATTTTATCACCTTATCACCTTTTCATCTTATCCGTTTGTTCCGCCTCTTTTGTTGATTTCCTCATTACTCATCATACACTTTGGGAGGTAGATTGGTAATTTTTAATTGGCAACAAAATAAATCGAACGATACATCCCTCTTTTAAATGCCATCGCAATACTTTAACTAGGGCCGGCCCTAAAAAGCGCAATATTTTTTGAGGCCTTAAACAAATGTGAGGCCCAAAAATTTAAAACCCTCGTAATACAAATTTTTGAACTCAAATTAGAGGACCTAGGCCCAGGGCCGGCCCTGTCTTTAACCAGCTTGCTCAAAAGTCACTATAATTTAACCACATGAATCAAAGCTGATGTAAATGCAGAGACTATTTTGATTTCGAATCTATAACATCCAAGTTATGATGAAACAATCGCAAGTCTAATTCGTAAATAGGTTTTCATAAACTAGGCCCAGGCAGCATTGGGTTATAGCCCAATGGATCAGAATGATCTCTTCTCTCACAAAAAAGAGATTGAGGGTTCGAGTTTGTTATGCTAAAAAGGAAAGAAAAAATTAAACAGGCCCAGGCCCAACTGAATTCCATCAGTGCCCTCGTGATATTATTTAGCAGGCAAGCATAAGTTGAAAACTCTGCGGAATAGTTTCAGAAAAGATGTAGGGCAATTCTGTCCATTCATCTTTTCCATATTCTAACGCACGCCTATATAACGGCAGAGCTACAAAAATTAGGGTATAAAAACCCCCAATCTTTCTCCCTCTCTTCAGCTCTGCTCTCTCCAGCTCAAGAACACGAGATAATGTTGGTCACTATTTCTTCTCCTAACATCAATTGTATTTCGACTTGAATTAATCTCTATATATACATATACATATATGTTTATAAATTCGTACAATTTCTTGAGAATTCATAGTTGTGATTCAACGTTTTATTGCAATATATCTTGCATACTAATTTGTGTATGTATATATATTTATATGCATATATATGTGTATGTGTATTTATTTTAAATTTGTTCACTATTTATAAATTCATGGTGGTTTTGGTTTGATTTAATTTGTATTTTGTGCCATTTAAGTTCTGATTCGTATGAGCCTGTCAGATCTTGATAAGGAAGAAGAATGGCAACGTTCGAGTTATACCGTAGATCGACGATCGGGATGTGCCTGACCGAAACTTTGGACGAGATGGTTTCAAATGGAGTTCTCAGTCCTGAGCTCGCCATCCAAGTTCTTGTTCAGTTCGACAAGGTACACCGAAAGCTCCTTAAACATCGCATTAAAAATTTCTCTTTCTATATATGCATTATTTTGTCATATGATTTATTTATTTTCTTATTGTTTAAATTGTTGTATGGATTTCAGTCGATGACTGAAGCTCTGGAAACCCAAGTTAGGAGCAAGGTGTCCATTAAGGTAATGGTTCATTCAGTAAGTTTTGCCTATTTTTATTATCACTTGGGAACAGAATTCACTAGTCACAGGTTAGGGTTCATTCATTCATCAATTAGGGTTTTATGGTTTTTGATCAAATCGTATGGAAACAAAATTTTCTTTTTTGATTAAAACTCTCAACCGTAAAGGCTGTAGGACTTCATTTTCTCTATAAATATATCTTTGTTCAAAAAACCTTGGCATGCATCATATATTGTCTTCAAGCGTACTTGGAGCAAACATAGTGTTTTCTAGCAATCCTTTGCTAGAGTTTTTAGTTTATTTGATCTTCATCGTTCATCTAATCTGGTGAGTATGTATATACGGTATTGATCATCAACAATTGTTGCACATACATTGATTGTATATCAATCAAGGAGAAATCTTATAGAATAATTGGTTAGATGATTTGACCAAAGGTCAAAGTACTTGTAAAGAAACAGATCTTGTGAGGAGCAGATTTGTTGATGGAGCGTACTGTGTGCATAAAACTTGAGTGGGTTTTGAACTGCTAACTTAGTGTATATCTCTTTCTTATAGTGGATTTATATGTTTACATTAGGTCTCGGGATTTTCGTGTAAAAAAATGTGTCTATTGTACTTCTACTTCTCTTTTTTTGACAAGTCTATTGTGCCTCTAATTTATTTCTTTTACATGATATATTAATTGCTTATGTGTGTAGGTATCGGATGGACTGAGTGAATTGCCTAGTAGTTTGGTAGTTTAATTTTTGAAAAGTTGTTAATTCAGTTAAATTTCAAAAATTAGTTAACCTATTCGCCCCTTAGATCACGGACCTTGTCCTAACTCTATATCAAAACCTTGGGTTACGGTTGTAGACGTGTCAATTTGTCCACCTGTAATGTTATTGTTACATAAGATTATCATACTTTTGATTAGGTTTTAGTTGCATCCATATCAGCTTTGATCATGTGGTTAAAGTACAGTAACTTTTGAGCATGCTGGTTAAAGTATTGCGATGGCATTTAAAAGAGGGATGTATCAGGGGTTCGATTTTTATTGTTGCCAATTGAAAATTACCAATCTGATTCTTTTTCTCCGTTGGTAGTATTAACCATTGGATTGAACTCAAATTTACACTTGTTCAACCTGGTTAGAAGCTATGCTTAGCTCTAAAGTTTTCCATATTGATGTTGCACATCACACGCTTTTCAATATTTGTGTGCTTTGCCCATGTGGAGCCCTTATTTGGATGCTTACAAAATTATTTTAACCACTATTTGCAAAACAGAAAGGAGTCACAAAGGGATTTATTGACACAATAGAGGACATTTACAATGGTTGTGTGACTATAGTTAGAACGACTGTAGGAGAAAAAAGTGAATTACTGTACTTATATTAAGGGTCAGCATTAAGCCCATACTTATTTTGCCATAGTTATGGATGAGCTAACAAGACATTTAAAATGAGATTTCATTTGTTATGAATTAATCCTTTTTGTATCAGCTTTGATACTTACTCCCTCCGTCCCACAAAAGTGTCCACCTCTCCATTTTTAGCTGTCCCATTATAATTGTCCCAATTCAAAATCTAATGTACTTTTTTTAATAATATTTTTAATTTACCCTCCTTACCTTGAAGTTGTAAAAGCACGTGGACCCATCATAGAAGGGTGTATTTGGAAATTCATTCCTATCACTATAATAAAAAAATAAAAAACTACACTTTTAAAAAGTTAGATTTCCGAAAAGGGACATTTTTCGTGAGACACAGGGAGTACTTGTTAGGAATTAATCTGCCCAAGATCACACACAACAAATATGCAATGGCAACAAAAGAAAATTTAGATGGAAGCAAGACACTAACTTTTATTAGAGAATAGAGAAGATTACAACCCTCAACGGATTACCAAGAGGTGTCACCCACTAGAAGAAGACACGCCTTCTTCTAAAAGCAATACACTCACTCTTGGCCCTCAATAACTTACTCTATTTTTCTCTCTTCTCTCTATTCTTCACTCTCTCTTTACTCAGCTCATCACACTGAGCTTTCTTCATGCCACATTTTACTCAGGTTATCACTCGATATATATATATATATAAGCACTGTTGCCGACTTCAGACGTCTTTGAAGCAACAATACATTTAAAGTGCTAACACACCACAACCAATCACAACACACCTTTTCATTTCTTTGCTTTTACTTTTCCTTACATTTCTTAACCATTACACACCACAACCAATCACAACACACCTTTTGTGGATGGCTTAAAGCTTTAGTTGTCGCCTTTGGCGCCTTGCGTATTCTTTTGAGAGCACTTCCCTGCACCTTTTTATGAAATCTTTTACTGATCAAAAATAAATAATAATAATAAAAAAAAACTATGGCCTTAAATAGAGCAGAATGAAAAAATAAGATTCATTAAGCCGACCCCAAGTAGTTGGAAATGGCTTTGTCTTTTAGTTATGCAACTCGTGTAGTACTACTTCCTCTGTTAATAAGCCTTTTAGTTGTGCAACAAGTTCTCTTTATTTGCTTGGGTTAATAGGCGTAATTGTAGCTCTTTGGATTTATTGTTAGATTTTGTTGGCGGTCTAAAAATGTAATTTGGGGTGCGCACCCCCTTTTTTGTTTGTGCCGTTAATCAAATCTATCTTATCAACAACAAAAAAAAAAATGTTATGCAACAAATAGTTGGTAAAGGCTTTGTTTGTTGTTGTATTTACAAAACAGTAAGTTTGACAAATAATGAGTGTATTATGCCATTTAGTTATGCAACTCGTGTAACCTTCTCTGTTATTTTTGTGTGTTTATTGTATGAAACACTTATCTTTATTAGGTGCCTCCTTTGTGACCAAAAGGAAGTCCCTTATTCAAACCATTCACACCTCACTTATAAAGTAGTGGTGGGATTTGGGTTCCATAGTGTAAAAATTAAATAACTAATTTCAAACATTTAGTAGGTTTTGTGGGTGGACATATTTAGTATTTATATAAGTTGTATTTATAGGGGATTACATCTTTTTTGGTATAGATGTAGATTCCGTTACGTTTCTTTAATGTCTTTTTTAATACATGTTCTGTTATTTTTATATCAATATGTTTTGTATCTTTATTCCTACAACAACAACAATCAAGCCTTTTTCCCAATTACTTGGGGTCGGCTATCTATGTTATTTATAGGGATTGCAAGAGTCCGATTTGGGATGGGTATCCATTTCCCAAGTTTGTCTAGGAGATTGGGACTCTTTCAGTATCCATCTTTGCCTTTGACTGGTTGGGTCGAGGTATAACAAAATTTTAGCAGGACAGGTTTCTTTAATTCCTGACTCTGTCCAAACCTAAAATCGGTTCAGCACCTACTTCCAAACATACCCCTATTTTATTTAACTGCTCCCAAATTCATCCCATTAGGGTATAGACCAGGGACAATTTTATTTAACTGCTCCCAAATTCATCCCATTAGGGTATAGACCAGGGACGGTTACTCTCCAGGTTAAATTATTGTTCATAATTAATTCATCTTCTGATTAACATTGTTTCTATTTTGATTAGAGAATTAATAGGACTTAAATAGTTGGGGTTATAAGGTTTTGTTAGCTGCTTTACAAGCTAAAAAACGAGTGACTGTTTCTATTTCTGCTACATCTCAACCTTTAAAAGAGTAAGTTGATTTTCTTATGTAACACTTCCATCTTATATAATTTCCATATAAATCAAGAAAAGAAGGTTAATGCATCCGATTCTCTTTTTCCTGAGTTTAAGCCTCTTTTATCTAATAATAGATCTCCTGGCTTGCTAGTACAACTATCTATCTTTTATTTTACCTTTTTTTTTGTTATGTTTTTCTTTTCCTTTTATATTTTCAGACTCATGACAGTTATATAGGCATGGGGCTACCATATCAGTACTAAATTCCACCCGACATGTGTAGCATAGCCATGGTTTTCAAAGTCAGGCATGATGTTATATAATGTGTCAGAACTGGTCCCATACCCTTTACGGATCATGATTAAGATGGGAATCCACTAGTGTATGCTGCAGTCATTACAGTCCGATACAATCCCATTACGACATTGTTACACTAACATCCAAGGTCTGTAACACGTGCCATCTTTTCAAAAGGATAGCAGAAGCCAGCAGATAAATTTCATTCAACATATCAGTAACACCAAAATTCTCTTAAGATAATATTAGGTACGCCTAATTCAAAATATTCTACCCCTAGTTCTCCCTGACAGAAAAGGAAAAAATAATAAGGAAAAGAAAAGTTGTCATCATTTAAAAGAGAGATGATGAAACGAGATAGTAAACAATCAAAAATCGTTTAAATGAAATATTGTTCTACCACATTATGTTTGATGTTATGAGTAAATCACGAAATCCCAATATTCTAGTTAATGCTCCTAATGATGAGCTACTTGCACCATGTCTTCCATCATTGCAACATCTCATCCCAAATTCTACTCCTGAGAATGCAATAGAGCCAATCAGCATATCAAGCATGTCGTCTAAGTGAAGAATTGAGAACTGGGGCTTAAGAGTAATCTTGTTAATGATATGATATTCCACTCTAGTTGTGAAGCCTGGATTTTGCTGCAGGGAGAGCATAACTTCTCAACCTTTGGACTTTCTTTCTTTGAACATGTTTGTGTTTCAATAAGATTTTCTCAGTATTCATAAAGCCAAATATGACAATGCATTTAATCGATAACTAAATATGATGAACAAAATTGTAATTGCATAGTTGAGAATAGTAAGTAATATCATTTGTCATTAATAATTTGCAAAAAAATTGTTAAATGTTAACAAACTTACCATAATTTGATAATTAGAAAAAGCTTCATTAGTAAAGACTAAAAACCTGGATTTCCTTGGTAAATCTAGTTTGGTAACGGTTATAAAACATAAATACAACAATGTATATAAATTGCTAAAAGATTTCAGCAAGGGATCAAATAAAAAATAATTGCACAGTATGTTATTATTAAATTAAATTTAACATATTAAAGAAGACATTCAAGCAAACATCTACATATTATTTGAATGAACTATGTCAATATTTCTATGAAACTCTGGGACTTTTAAGAGGTGTTAAAACCTTTTTTTTTTTTTATTGTTTTGAGATAAGTTTGGGTAGCATACACCTTATATGAATAGCTTTAATGTCTCCCTTCTTTTTCATTTATTATGTTCCAGTCCTTCATCAGCAGATTTTGATACATCAATTTGATATTCCCATTTATTATTCTTGGGGAGTATACATGTGCTCTAGAAGGTTATACTTGCTTTCCTATCTTGTTTCTGTTCTCTTTGTTTAACTTTAGTCCCCGAAGTGCGATCAGTCGCATTTGAATGAGTAGGTATCTTAACACTTCTTTTGAATATGTGTTACTCTAAGGCCATGTGGCCCATATCTTTATCATACACCACATTCTCCCAAATTTATATGACCCTGCTTTATAGGTATGGCATCATGACAAACCTGATCATATTAATTATCACCCATAGTAAATTTGACTAAACAATGGGAAGTAATAGGTGCGTCATTTCCTTTTTGTGAGACCATGCCACTTTGTAGAGATTAGGATGCATCTCGATTGGCAATCTCAAGTTATCTATAAACCTTTGTACGAATAACTCACTGCTACCACCATCAAGGATAGCGTTGCTTACCTTTCCACCATGATACTTGGTTTTTGGAAATATGTATTTTTCTTTACCTTGAGCGTACATTTCCACCATGATATATTCGGTTTTGGAAAATTTTGAGACACCTTCCTCTATATTTGCATGTTCTCATGACTTGTCACACTATTGGAGATTTCCCTTGTACTGACCAAACATCCACATCCTCTTCTTAATAGTTAAACTAATCATAAATTGGTTTCAATATTTCCTCCTCTTCATCTTCAAATTCAACCACACTCCCTTTGATTTGGGCTTGCACAGGATGCATGTCCCCCTCCCCACAAATTATAGATTGGGAATTTTCTTTTGAAGCTTCAACCGGTGTTGTTTTGAGCTTTGAATCTCGAAAGTTTGTTATTTCCCTAATGTCATTGTTTCTAACACTTGTCCAACTATCTATGGCAGCCTCTTGGTCAGTTATTCGGTCTCTTTCCTCAATTCAAGCCCCTTGGACAACAAGTGTAGTTTTTGTTTTGCATCGCCGATGCATCCAGTTATAGGTTTTCCCATCACTGTAAATGTGGTTGTGATGATGTATCTTCTCTGTTCGTCTGAGCTCTCTTGGGATATAATTGAGTTCCCTACCGGCCATGGGCACAACCAAGGCAAGTATCCAAAGAGCAAAACTGCAAAAGCCATTTGAAAGTATAGGGCACAAGAAACTAGAAAAAGGGTTTGGATGGTTTTAGGGAGAGAGTGTGTTGAAGACGCAAAGTTGGTATGAAAGAGAGTTAGTAAGGAGTGGAAGATATATATTTATGGGAGGTTGAAAGTTGGTAGGAAAGGGGTCCTTAAATTAAGAAACAAATTTCAGTTGTTTTGATAGGTCAAGGTATTGGTTGAGCCTCCTGGGTTCCAGTCAATCAATAGAGGTATCGATCGAGGCCTACTGAATTCTAATGCCCTGTCTTTCCAACTTCTGATTGATAAAAAAAAAAAAACCTTTTGGAATCCATTTCAATAGATGTAGACATTGATCAAGGTTGTCTGGATCTCAACTCTAGTTTTCTTCTGTTCAGTGGATTGGCGATTGATCGACACACATTGTTTCTAGGAGAGTACAAGGACTGAAACTCTATGCTCTAATAGAGAGTTGGCACACGGTCCTTGATCTAAACCTAAAGGGGGGACATGATTTGTGTACTAACTACTTTTAAAAAATTAAACTATTTGACCAATAACTGAAACTTAAATCAAAACAATAAACTGAAAATATGTGAATCAGTCATGCATGAACAGATCACATCAATCATATATTACGTAAATCACTTTTGAAAAATTAAACTATTTGATCAATAACTTAAACTTAAATCAAAACAATAAACTGAAAGTATGCGAACCAGTCATGCATAAACAGATCACATCAATCATATGTTAAGTAAATCAATAAAAAAGCATGCACAATAGATACCAAGATTTTTACATGAAAACTGGGAAGGGAAAAACCCCGGAACCATGTCCACTCATATTAAATCCACTATATGAAGTTATTACACTAGGTTAACAGTTCAAATCCCCAAAATTTCTAGTTACCTCTCTTGACACGGACTAATTCACCAAACTCACACTGCCCCCAGGCATCTGCTCTGTCAACAGATTCCGCCCACAATCTGCTTCTTCATTAGCTCTTTGATCTCCAGACTAGTCGACCAAACCAATTTCAGACGAATAGGTTGATCGTGTTGAACTCTAATTGAGATCCGCAATAATAGATCGTCAACACGTGCATAAAACTCCACACTCTATATGCTGAATGATTGATGATGAAAAACAAAATTTTATGCGCTAAAAAATAACCTCAAACAATATATTTCTCTGTATTTTATTTCTATTTATTGTATACTTTGTGCGTCTGAATTTTCTGCAGTAATGTGGTATTCATAGACAAAATATAGTGGAGAGATTAAGGTTATAGTATTTTATTCACGAATGAAACTTCTACTTTGAATGGTTCAATTGATTGAGTTTCCATTCGATGGATCTACATACATTCAGTAGCCTTCTTGATATGTCGATCCGCTGAAGCACAATGCGCAGCTATACTTTGAAAATTCAAATATGCTATGCTTGGCGGCACCAAATCGGCGCCTTGGATTTAGAATTGGAGAAAATTTAGTACAATTTTGAACTAAACTTCCTTCAATCCCAAATCCAAGACACCGATTCCATGCTCCCAAACACAGCAATAAAGAAGTTCCAACACCTTGTAATGCATATCAAAAAGGAATTTTCTAAATCAAAACATGTATTAATAAACCCTAATTTGGTGAGTGCATATTTGTATATCAAATTACCTTTGTACCCTTGTCTTTTAAGATTACCATTCTACCCTTGGACCAGAGGCAACTATCTTAACACTAACTTTAAAAAAAAAAAAAACTGAAACAAAAAATAAAAATTGCACTCTCTTGGCACTTAACACTATAATGCCTCATTGGAACTTACAATGTCATGTTGCCTCAATAAATGGTAGAGTAAGACCTTAAATTATCATTATGCCACGGCATATATTTTTGTGGAATTTGTAACCTGGAATTTCTCATAGTTTTTGCAATAGGAGTGTAATGTCTTTAATCACCACTATCGTCATATGTGTCTGTATACATACAAATTTATTACTTCATTGGAAATTAAAATACCATTTTTCCTCCGATGGTTGCCTCAATAAATCCGATAGACTTCAATTACCATCATGTGTTGACATGCATCTTTGCATAATCTTTAAGTCGGAGTTTTTCATCTCAGTTATTGTAATAGGATTGTAAAATCTCATCAGTTTGCAATTTCACTTCTGTGATTGAATTACTTGAGAGCTTGAGACAATATGAGTACGTGTGCCTTGAAAATTGCTCTGACTGATTAGGATTCTCAGCTGTTCTTTGTTTGTAGTAGTTCCATGCATGCAGTTATCCGCTACCTGTCATATTTGAGTTATTCTATTACCTGATTTCTTCCACATCCCTAGTCTGCTTTTGTATTCCTTAATATCTGGGACCATATTGATCTTAAACTGAGTTTTTTCTCCCCTCCTACAGGGACATCTGCACACATACAGATTCTGCGACAACGTTTGGACCTTCATCTTACAAGATGCTGTATTTAAGAACGAGGAAAGCCAGGAGAACGTTGGTCGGGTGAAGATAGTGGCATGTGACTCGAAGCTCCTCATACAATGAGATGCCACATAAAGGGTTTTATTTCATTCCGGTGGTGGTAGAGGGGATGTTGGAAAAGAAGAGAAGGAAGTACCTTCTCCTGTCAGTTGTCAGTTGTAGTTGCAGGCATGAGATTATGAGGATTAAACACTCGTAAAAACCAAATCAAACTGCGTGACTATAATTTCTGGATGTCATTTAACCACGCCGCGTATATTGGATGGTTATTTCGTCTTGTGTATCGTATTTTAAATAAGTTAGATGTCTTGGATTATAGCTTGAACATTTTGAATGCGGCTTGTTTAGTTAAAAAAACTTGTTGGAAAAGATTTGTAGCAATGATGGAATAGGATCTTCCTTCAAGTGATTTCATTTTGGAATTCTGTTTGTGAATATATGGGATCATCACTGTAGTACTTGAATTAAAAAAACTGAGCACCTTGTAGTCTGTAATACAATGTTGCAGCTTCAATTCTCCTTGCTACAAAAATTTTACATTATCTCCGTTTGTTTGGATGTAAAATATTTTTTAAAAAATATTTTTTTATTTTTTAGTATTTGATTGTTGTAAAATATTTATGAAGGAAAAATATATTAAAATTTTATAAAAGTAATTTATCCATTAATTTTTGGTAAGTTATTTTATACGTCCCCCAATGAACTTGACTTCGATCTAGATCTTTGCCAAATATCAAAAGTGCAAATAAAAAAAATATTTTACCTAAAAAATTAAAATATTTTGTGAAAAAAATATTTTAGGAGCCTATTTATATTTCTTTTGCTGACAAAAAAATTATCACATTTGAGAAAGTTGGAATCTCTACATTTCAGAGTGAATACCACTAAACCACATAACTCTACAATAGTGTTTTAACTGTGTTGAAAATCACATGCCTGCGTGTTGTGATTTTTAGTTCACTTAAGTCGTGTTTGATCACATTTGTTATAGATTTTAACATATACTTTATTGTTATACCATTACTTCATATTTTAAGGCATTAATCTAGAACAAATGTGTTAAAAGACCATTTAAGGGCTTTAAAAATCTCTACAGCATATTATGAAGAGCTATCTAGATCAAAATCAAAACATATTTTAAGAGAAACAGAGAGACGGTGCTTTGGAATGATGAAATTTTCATCCAGCTTCTTGCATGATATGAACCCCCAAGAATTTTCCATTGATTCGATTATGTATATTTGATGAAATTGAAGTTAGGGTTATGGTGATTTGAGGAGGAATTTAAGGTTTGAGATATATAGTAGCAGTAGTAGGGGGGAGAGAAATTTCTTTCATTGCATACAAGTCTTTTTAGTCCTTAACTGCAAACTGTCGTTAGGCTATCGTTTGCAAACTTAATTGGACTATATACACTATTTGTAGGGGTGGTAAAATTGGTTACAACTCATTTTAACTACTTAATTTGAGGGTCAAGATGGGTTGAATATGGATACAACCCATATTTTACCCATCACATAATAAACACACAGTACACATCTGTTCTATATTGCACTTAACTCATTTTTCTTTCTCTAAAATTCTCTCACGCACGATCATCTCTCTAAAAATGTCTTTCATCAATCCCTCCTCTCTAAGTTTCTCTTTCTAGAAATTTCTTCTCGTTCCTTCACTTCTCTTGTAGGATTCATTCAACCTACAAAGGGGCTGCGTCAAGGATGCCCTCTTTCTCCTCTCCTTTTCACTCCGGTGACAAATCAACTTACTCAATTTATTAACACTGAAGTTGCTAATGGAAGGATCAAACTATCAAATACTGCTTGAAAGCTGGCTCTACCACATGTCATACTTTCTTTGCAGATGATCTGTTGATTACATGCAAAGCCTCTATATCAAATGCTAGATCCCAGCAAGGTATATTTAAAATTTTTAGTGAGGCTTCTAGTTTGCAGATCAATTATCAGAAGACCAGTGTTATATTTTCTAAGGCTGATATAAGAAGAAGAGCTATACTTAATCTGCTGCAATGCAAAGAAGAGATGTTTCCTTTGAAATATTTAGGTATACCTTTGTGCTCCACAAGTTTAAAGAAAGATCGTTGTACTGTGCTTATGGACAAAATTTTAAAAAAGCTCATTGTTTGGTGTAATAACTTGCTGTCAGTTACAGGGAAGGCAGAGCTTATCAAGACAATTACTACCCCTATTTGTTTATACTGGTGCAATGTATTTCTTCCATTGCCTGTTGATGTTCTAAATCATATTCAAAAGCTGTGTAGAGATTTTCTTTGGGCAGCAGAGAGAATTTGAAGAAATTACATCTTATGAGTTGAGATTTGATATGTAGGCCTAAAAAGGAGGGAGGGATGGGTATTAGAAAATTGATTGATTTGCAGAAAACTTCCTAGTGTGTTTTGACTTGGAATTACTTGCAAAGTTGTAATGACTTGGTCATTTTCTTTCCTTTTCTTTTTCTCAAATTTTACGGATATATATATATTTTTTTGTTGATTTTTCTTTTCCAAGTTCGGTTTCTCGTCACTTGGTGGCATCTCGAGTGCTCGGGAATGATTTTCGAAACTCCTTCCTTTGGATTGACAACTTCATTGTGAGGACTGCGTCATTTCCATATATATTTTTTTTAACACTATCACTTTTCGTCCTTTTCCCAGTTTGTCACTTTTTTGGCATAACCTCACTTTTTGTATTTGAAGTTGATTTTTGACTTCATGAGTTTTCATTTCAGTTGATTTCCTCGAAACACATAGCTTTACTTTTGAGAAAAGCTCGCTGGTTGTTTCTTTTTCCCGTAGTGGTGTGGATGAAAGGATTCTTCAGAAACATTTTTGTTTCTTGGGGTGTTTTTCATAAATATATTTTGGAGATATTTTGATAAGGGGTTTTTAAGAAAATATCTTTTGGAAGATATTTTCATTTTGGGTCAGTTTTACAGTTATCCCTTTTTATAGGGGCCATTATGTAATTAACGAAAGTTATTACAAAATATCTCGTTTTGAGTCTGAATTCTCATACGGGATTCATTTTCACTTTTCATCAAGTCGTGTACTCTTAAAATTTCCTTCTGGTCGTTTTTCCCAGTTTTTGGGTTTTCGGCCCTAGTTGCCGCTGAACTTGTTCGAGGCATATGTCTTTACTCGGGATTCAGTTTTTGATACTGTTTCTTTTATTATTCATTTTTTCTCATTTTGGTCCTTTTTCGTTCACAATGTTTCGCCGTTTAAGCACGTCTGCGTAAATTTCACTTTTTGGGACCTAGTGGGACCCGTTCGGGGCACTTTTTGAGATTTTCTATAAATAGGGGGTTTAAAAAATTAAATCATTTCATTTCCTCTTCTTCTCCACTGCTGCAGACTTGGTTCTTCAGCTCTTCCATGGCTGCCACCCTCTTTTCCCAAATCAACCATTTTCCTCTTTGATTTTTGCCTCGATAATTAATACTTTATTGTCGGGTTTGGCGAGATCTTCGTTTCCCCTCTATTAGAATCCGGTTTTGACCATTTTTGAGTTCAGATTTCGAGTTCAAGTTTGGATTTTGGTGATGCCTAAAGGGTGATAGTTGCTTCCTTCGTTGTCCCCGACATAACCCCGAAGTATCGTTGAATTCAGAGCGGTTTTCTTTAGGTGGCTTTTGAGTTTTTCATCTCAAATGAAGGTAGGGGATGTTATAGGATTCAATTCTTGATGAATTGTATGTTTTTAATACTTATACAACTTGTATGCATACCTTTGCTTATAATCTATAATTTAATTTAATTATTTTCTTTGCATAAGATTTAATTCACATGGTTGTATATAGTTTGGAATTAAATTGTGGCATTCTATTAAATTAAGCCTTGATATGTTCATTAACATATATTAAATTGGGAATATTTGAATAAGTATTGAAACTTTTATTTAATTTTTCTCTTGTATGAAAATTTAATTCAAATGGTTGTAGCTAGCATGGAATCAACTTATAATGTGATATTAAATTAGCCCTTGGTATGTTCTTTAACATATATAAATTTGGGAATATTTGGAGTTGTTTTAAATCTAGAGAAATTTTATTTCAAGGGTTCTATTCACGTAATTGAATTTTTAACTTGATATTGTTGATGTGCTTGGTATGTTCTATCACATATATTAAATTGAGAATATTTGAATAGGTTTTGAAACTTTTATTTAATTATTTTCTTGTATAAAGTTTAGTTTACCTAGTTGTAACTAAGGTAGAATTAGCTTGTGACTTGATATTAAAATAGGCGTTGCCATGACCTTTAACTTATATTATTTTTAGAATTTTTGGAGTTACTTTATAATCTTGGGAATTTAATCATTTGATTTAATTAAATTCCATTTATATGCTCCATTGAGGTAATTAGGTATTGATGTTGTTTTCTTACTTAATTTATAAATTTGGAACTTGTTATATGATTACATTATAGTATTCTATGAGTTAAAGTTATAATTTAACTTGTTTATATACACATTATATATTTGATATGTCGTATGCCATTGTAGTTTGAAGACATATGACATATATTGTGTGTTTTACATGACTTGTTTGGGCATGGTAGTTGACTAAGTGTATTAAGTATATGTAATATGCCTTGATGCACAACTTGTTAATTTTAGGAAAGCACGTGCGGACATTAGAACATGTTACAGTTAGGGCATGGATCTAGTACGGGGGATGAGAGCTCCCCCTACAACATATAGTGCGCACAGGGTGGTACCCTAAGGGCTAGTAAACCAAAAACACCAACATCTTGATTTTATTCTGGATTTAGTGCACACTAGGTAGCACCTTGAGGGCTAGTAACTCGAGATCACTTGCTTGGTCATTGAGACCGTATGTCCTTGTCTTTCGGCTACTTCTTGATTTCACATTCAATTCCAAGTTGTTAGTTATATATTATTTATAACTTGTGATGTGGTGTTTGATTATTTCAATTTGGTATAGTATATATGTGCTTAGTATACTTGCATGCCTTGCTTTTCATTTCAATTGCTAGTGTAGTTCGAAATGATATCTTAGTATACCTTACAACATAGACGTTAGGTAGCATCAACACTTGTTGATTTCGTTTTTCATTACAAGTTAATAGCACTAAATTGTTATAACTTGTTGTTTTCGCATTTTAGATTTCAAGTTGTTAACTTTGATAATCTATGTCTCGATACGTTGTATTAGAAGTTCTACTTTTACTAAATTGTAATATTTAATTGTTTATGCACTTTAGGTTTCAAATGGATGACTTTGACAATCTATATTTTGTTGCATTATATTGGAAGTTCCAATGTTAGTTAAATTGCATTAAAATTGTAATTTGTGTTTTAATCATTCTAATATAGCCTAGGATGATTCCTTAGACTCATTTAGAACATAGACGTTAGGTGGCATGAACCGTTTTAGTTGTTTTCGCATTTTAGGTTCCAAGTTGATACTTTGAATACTTATGTCTTGTTGCGTTACATCATATGCTCCTATGTTGTTTACTTGCATAAATATTGTGGTT